TTTTAGTTTGTTACATCTTAATGATTTGCAATGCTTAAGATTGCGGACAGAATAATTGAGTCATGTTATAACAAATTTATGCAACTTATACACATTATGATACATTATAATAAAGTTAATCTTAATCTTCAATTTTAGTTTGGTCGAAGAAAATATTGTAATTTTATTAATTTTTTGATGTTGCTGACGTGGCATAAAATACAAATACAATATACATATAAATCGCTTTTCTTTTCTTTTCTACCATCGAGTCAATTGTAAAAACAGGCTTATCTCGTAATGAATTTATTATCGAAACTCTGATGACAATTGCATTGCTTCATTACTGCTTTTAGTACTTTATGGACTAATAAATTATCTTTGGCGTGTGTTTACGTGCGTAACGGGGTCGTCGAAGACCCGGCAGTTATAGTACGATAACGAACACAGAGTCGACATTGTTTAAGTCGATATCGCGTTAACTTTTTAATGACAGATATCTATTCTTTACAGCTCGTTGTTAATTAACTTAAGATGTGAAATAAGCGAATGAAATGGAATAATAAATCAAATAGGATAGAATAATTGATCAAATAAAGTAAAATAAAACGATAAATAAAATAGAAAATACAGAGTGAGGATTAAATCTGCAATTAATAGTAAAATCGAGAAAGACCTTCTCTCCGCATTGCTTATATCTCCAGCTGCGCAATCCGAACTTGATTTCACAGGAACTTTCTGGACAAAACTTTTCACATAATACAATCACTTTGGCGACGATTCACACTAAAACGGTATAGCGAGCGGTGTGATGTATTACGTAACTCGTGTGTGCATGGTAGTTTGTGCGAAACTGCAGAATCTTCATACATATGCTCTTCTAGAAGTTTATGATTACGCAATTCCATACGCCACACAATTTCCTATATGACCTCAGTGCCAATTATAAATAATATATTATTAAATAATTATGTAATATATATGACAATGTATAATATAATATAATATAATATAATATAATATAATATAATATAATACAATATAATATAATATAATATAATGTAATATAATATACAAATTTTTTTTGTCTTCGAAGAAATTATTACAATCGAAAAGGTTCGAATCATTGTAACAGCGTAGAAAATGGCACAGCAGGGGTTCAAAATCGATTAAATCGAGGAGAATATAAATAAGTAACATTGAGTTACATCCACACCGATGTTCACCATGCCTCGAAAATAGCACAGGATTTGTCGGAGTGAAAACATTTTCCGAAAACCTTCACACGCCACGTAAGAAAACCGAGCAGATAAGAGATGCAACTTAAGTTAAAGATTTACGAGTAATACGCCATTTAGCCGGGAATAGTAACGAAGGAAATGTGACAACGAGACGCTAGAAAGAAAAAGCGTTGTTTGCAATGGCTGGTATCACGGCCTTATCATTCCGTTTGCGTATGCATATGTGCGTCTGTGTACGTGTAAGTCGGAGCAGGTTTCTCGTGAACTCTGGTTTAAATCAGTAACACGATTCTTGATATTTGCCGAAGCTTTATGTCTACCATGAATCCGCGTACAAGGAACCATTACTCTTGAAACGATTGTTTGCGATGTTCGAGCTGCAGCGAACAAAATAGCGACAGAGCTTCATCACGAATCATTAGAATTTTATGATATTTTTATACATTATTAGAATTTTATAATATTATTACACATTATTAGAATATTATTGTAAATGATAAGAATTTCATACTATTATTATACATTATTAGAATTTCATACATTTAGTGTACATTATTAGAATTTTACAATATTATTGTATATTATTAGAATTTTACAATATTATTGTACATTATTAGAATTTTATGATATTCTTATACATTATTATAATTTTAAAATATTATTATACATTATTAAAATTTCATACATTTAGTGTACATTATTAGAATTTTACAATATTATTGTATATTATTAGAATATTAGAATATTATTGTATATTATTAGAATTTTATAATATTCTTATACATTATTAGAATTTTATAATATTATTACACATTATTAGAATTTTAGAATATTATTATAAACGATAAGAATTTCATACTATTATTATACATTATTAGAATTTCATACATTTAGTGTACATTATTAGAATTTTACAATATTATTGTATATTATTAGAATTTTACAATATTATTGTACATTATTAGAATTTTATGATATTCTTATACATTATTATAATTTTAAAATATTATTATACATTATTAAAATTTCATACATTTAGTGTACATTATTAGAATTTTACAATATTATTGTATATTATTAGAATTTTACAATATTATTGTACATTATTAGAATTTTATGATATTCTTATACATTATTATAATTTTAAAATATTATTATACATTATTAAAATTTCATACATTTAGTGTACATTATTAGAATTTTACAATATTATTGTATATTATTAGAATTTTACAATATTATTGTACATTATTAGAATTTTATGATATTNTTTTCTCGAAACGAAATCCGATAATCTTGAGCACGCGTCTACACAATAGCGACAGTCAGGAGCCTGGTCTAGAAGTGCAATAATTGACTAAAACTGGATCAGAACGATTAACCTTAATATCAAAAGCTAACATTAAGAAACCCTATAATAAAAGTCTACGTGGTAAGGGACAGCTGATGATACAACTGTAATGATGCTTGTCCCATTTTGCATGATCCACGGAATTACCTCGAAAATCGAAATTTAGGGAAACCTCCCTTACGCGAACACTCCACTTACAATTTTTTGGATAAAATTCTCGAAAGAAAAATCTTGAAATAAAGTATGCTCGATTAATAAATCGTTGCTAATCCAAAGTTCCGAATATAATTGCAGGCTTGCAAGACTCGCGTCGTCGTGCAAATTCCTCCCTAGCTTGGGAATACCATTTGGTTCTCGAGACAACGTGATTTCAGGCAAACAGGGAGCGGAATGTTTGGATGAAAGACAAATACGCAATAAAAAAAACCGTGCGAACGCGAAGATAATCACGTGCGAGCGCAGGAACCGCGAAACGGCGCGACGGATATGCCAGAAACCTTTAGTTCTGCGTTTCTTATCGACGACCGCGTTTTTAAAAATTGCAGTAACCGTTAAGATTATTTATTGTTACGTCTGTCTTTATAGCGCTTAATGCTCGAACGGCTGGCATCGGCTTTCACTATGCAGTTTCTGACAATTAATTTCATTTGACACAGGTTCCATTAACGTTTTTAGAAAACGTGTCCAGAGGTAGTATAAAATATACGTTGGAAAAGATTGATAAATAGAATTATAAATGACCCTATTAATAATTTATATTAACTAGCGGTAACACTTTTAAGCGCGCACTTAACGCAATTGCCATTTTAATTTTACGTTCCTCGTTTCATAAACGATGCTGGTTATTTTATTTCAATGAAATTAACACACTTTCTACGTGCCACACGTGACAAATTTGATTACCATCCGATTATCATCAATTACAATTAGTTTTCACCAGCATGTTGCAAACGAACACATTCTTTTTCACGATAATGACGATGATTAGTTGGAGATCTCCATAGAGTAGTTAACATGAATCACGAAGTGGAATAAAAGATTTCTAAATTGATAGAACTCACAGACCACGCTTTTCGTCGTTCTTATTAATCAAATGAACGATCATCTAAGAGTGTCGTGTCATTTTGTCTTTTATCATAATAATACTACCAACAATTCTAATTAGTAGTAACAATTCTATTAGTAATTAAAATTTTACGCATTCATGATAAAAATGAATAAATCGAATGCGAAACGGTAAAAACAGTTTAAAGAATTTCAAGATACTACATGATTGTCAACTTATCAAAATAAATATTTATGTACATCCTGTATCTCATAATCAGCGTAATTTTTATTCTGCGTAAAAATCCGCGGTCTAATTATTATAAACCGTAGAACGTGAGGCAAGTTAATTGTTCATTGTACAAGAATCGAATGATACGCTGTTCTCAAATGTTCTTACGTTCTTCTCACGAGTCAAAATTCTTTTCTCCTGAATAACTAATACGTATCCCGACCGTAGAGGACGATGCAAAGTAGGCTGTTACTAACCAATTTATGGAAGCTGGAATCGTATGAAAGTTCGCTCATTTCATTAATGGATCCGATGATTCAAGATAATGTGCAGTAACCTCGTTCAACTTTATTAAACGTTTTGCTCTATTGAACCTCGGGTGATCAGACATTTTATTAATTAGATACAGAAACATTTCCATTTCCGCGGACAAGCAAAAATACGCTGCCTAATATAAAATTCGTTAATAAAATCGAATCCTATTCGCAACGGGGGGTTTCGTTAAATCAAAAATAATGTTTCGATATTCGGTTTGTAGATTTTCAAGATTTCGACGATATCAATTTTTTTACAATTTTCCGTCACGAAAGTTTACAATTACTTTTTCAGTGTCTTCGACGTACGACGGTTTTGCTTAAATCGTATTTATGCAGGTCGTAATCTTTCGGGTTTCGTCGTAGATTGAAAAACAAGAGTTATGTACTCGTGTCGAAAAATACTTTTCGGTTTTCAAGATCGTCGATTCGAATCGCTGTGCTGCGATTGGTAAATGCAACACGGGAACAGCTATTGTAAGACAAGATTACAGGCAATTGAAGATGGTTGGTCACGGATATTCAGATTTAGAATAGATATTCTGTTGCGTGTTCCTTAACATTAATTTGCCAGGACTGAATGCCATGAACCTATACATGAACTGACATCGCTACTTAATTAGCTCTAGGAGCTATAGATATTAGCAAGGCCATATGCTGATCGCCAGATTATTCTATAAATATCCAGATTTTTGGTATTCTTCGATTAACCTGACGACTTGTTTCAGCAAAAACCAATGTTATTATCGCCATTTTCTAGATTTTATGTGGACTAGTGTTTTAACTCGATTAGTACTTAATTAAATTAAATTAGATAGATAGATTAGATAGATCTACTGTTACTATTTCATATAAATCTGGATAATTGTTTCGTTCGTAATTTTCTACTACTGGAACATTTGTATAACTCGGACGTTATTTACTAAATTCGCAAATCTTCGTGCAAGATAACAATGGTCTATCTTTTGATTGCATAACATAATAAAACGGTTGAGTATTTCTTAATAAATAGCACGAAAGCGACAACGATCTAACTCATAATTCAACAAATTATGTGAATTAATATGATGCAATAACGTGTTTTAAAACGATTATTCAGCTTCTTTTAGGAATAATTCGGTCGTTAAAAAGCTTACCGATAGGTTTCCAGTAAATAAAGTGTTAATAAGATCGCATTGGTAAGTCTACCTAATCGAAGTTATGGGATTACCGATTTGCCGAGCTGGTTCATGAAATCCATTCACGTTTCCGTTCTCACGGAGCCAAACAAGAGCAACGTTAACACATTTATAGCCGGTGAATCGAAAGCTCGTAGGACGAATCGATACATCGGTGAAAAAGGAATTTCCGAGCGACTTATTTATAGATTAACAGATGCCACAACCTTGGGTGTATAAAAGTTGATCTAAAAATAAAAGACCAATCCCGAAAGCTTATTTACTAATGGGAAATCGGCTCGACGATGTATAACGGTGTACGGTACCGCACGTAGGTACACGCAATTGTTGTTCGCGAGAAAACAGGCTAGCAAATTTTCATCGTTTCCAACCGCCATTAATATTATCATCGATTAAAACAGAACATCAAATTCTCGGAACACTCGCTCGGTAAATACGGTATCGAATCGATACTAAAAATGGCTCGTAAAAATAATCTATTGACCGCGACGCTTTTCCTTCGCTACCATTTATCGATCTATCTAGTTATCAACCGATGTTTACTGATCAAATACTTAATTGACGGATGTCGTAGATATCGTCTTCGATTAAAGCGTGTTACTTTCATTGCGAGCGTACGGTGGAATTTTGTATGTGTGAATCAGGGTGAAATTATTTGTCATACGAAAGCAGACTTTAACAACTAGGTTTACAGAACCCGTCTATTCAACACGTTAAACATTCTTTGATTTACGATTATTAATATTATAAAGATACATTTAGTAAGAATTTATTCAACGAATCTGTTTCGTCGGGCATACACAGATGTGCATACACAGATGCACATTTTTGAGTATAGGAAACCTTCTGCACAGGATACAAATTGTATCGCGTCAACGAAGATATTAATTTTATTCATTTAGAATCGTTCGATTCTTATTTTAATTTCGTAGTTTTTGTTTTACTTCTCTTCATCTTCATTACTTCGTATATTTATCTTCGAAGCCAAAATATTGAGAAATATAACTTCCGTCGGTGAGCGTATATTACAATAAAAGTCGCTACAAATGTGAACAAATATGTGCTTGTTATATTCACAAAGCAATATAAAATAGCATTTTTTAGTACCTCGTAAACCTAGCGTTCGGTTTCGTTTGAAGAAAACCGAATGCATCTGGTATACGTTTGCAAATTCTGTTTCACGTTTCCATTTATACTTAGCTAAAGCAGAATGCATAGCGATCGTATCCTGAGATCAATCTCGTACATTATGCGCTGTTTGTTATAGTCTCATTTGTTTCTATTGCTCCACTCTGTCTGCAATTGATCCCACACACTAATGTTAGACGATGGGTTATATTGCAGATACACTACCCTTCATAAGTATCCGGACACCTAGCAAAATTCCAACGATTACCGCATACATGCTACAACAATAGAATTATTTTTTAATTAAGTATACTGTTAATTCAAATTGCACGATATTAATTTGTTATCACCGTTTATAAACGCCTCATATATTCGTCAAGTATCCGTGGCTACTGCCCAGGTATCGACTAACATGTCTGACCATGATTTGCAACATCTCCTTGTAAATGCTTACGCATGCGTGTCCGATGAATATTCAGATTCTCTTGGAAACAGATTCTTCCATGGAAATCTGAGTTTAATCTCTTCTCCAATTTATATCCGATTAAATATTTATGTTATATTTCGTTCAATTATATTAATCTCTACAGCTGTTTTTTCAGATCTTGAACGCATGGCTCTAACATTTCCAGTTGTTTCGTCCCATAATTTTAATTAGCAACGTTCTCATCTCGCGTTTGTCAACCTTAAAAATACAATGATAAATAAAACGATTTATCTCAGGCGTCAATTTTAACACTTCTTTTTACTGGATGCTTACTAACAAGCTTTTCGATGGCTGAACTGTGATCTAAGAGAAGCTCGGTAATCTTCTTTTAAATAATAATGTCAAAAGAACGTCTTACATTATTGTAGTTTTTGACGGTTATAAAAGAACTATTGTCAAACAGATTAATCGCATTATAATTAGAAACTATTTTGAACAATCCATTTGCAAGATATTTCGGTGACGTCGGCTAACGAATAAGTGTCCGGATACTTTTGAATGGTAGTGTATGCACGTGGACGCACCGGATGCGTTCGTAAAAGTTCCCGGGCCCTCCTTTGCGGTTCCGAGGTTGGTCGCCACAGGGGTTTCAGCGGGTACGAATCGTAAAAAATCTCCGACCACCCTCTACTGTAATTAGTATGAAGTATTTTTTAACAATGTTCCTAACGAAACTCAATTCGCCCTGCATTCTCGATTCCATCGATTTTGCAAAATTGCAAGAAGTGTCTATCGGCATCCAAACGATCCCTCAATTAATACGTATTAGAGTATTCTCATCGCACTATCGTAATTACACGACGCTTACATCCAATTTGCTTCTGGTTCGGAAATTTCTACTGTTGGAAATCGCACGTTTAATCCGGGCAACCTGAATGGCATACTGCAAATGATGAGTATATATAATCGAAGGTATTAATTAGTGGAAAATCCATATTACGTGAGGCAAGTATCGATTACGTGTAACATAATTAGCACATTTCCAGGGCATCCGAATATTGCGTTCGCAATATTCGCTTAGCGGTGTTATGAAGGTTTTGCACGAAAAATTCATCCTTTTTGTAGACCGTGCTCGCCCTTTTTGCAAATAAAATTAACCTTTCCACACATGAAAATTGTCCGTCTTTTATTCAATTTTTTAATGCGAATGCGATATGTTTATTGATAAAATGTCATTACAGATAATTCATCTCCAATAATTATTTATTAATCCATGAACAGTGTATATGATCTACGAAAGGATTAATATGCAGTGAAAAAAAGTGAACGCGATCTACAAAATGCTTAATTTTTAATATAACTAACGAGCGAAAAAAGATGGAAATTCTTGATGCAAGTTGACCGATTCTTCCAACAAATTTTCAACAATATATTACAAGAAATTATTTACTGTCGCGTAAAATGAATGTTTAAACATGACTTCTGTCGCTCGTAAACTAATTAACGTGTCAGTGATTATACCTAGTGTTATGAATTAATTAGTAACGCAAAACGTGACGAGGTGTATTCAATATTCATCGATGTAGCTGTTCCGAGTACGTGCAATAACGTGAAATGTAAAGCACCGTTTGATGGATCTCGAAAGTTAATACCGTGATAATTCGAAATATCGTCCGACAGATATAAGGAAGATAATTTCTGATAACATTCTCACGTTGTGTTATAAATAGAGCACAGATTTTATGCATTTATGATAAAAATGAACAGATCGAATACGAAACTCCTTTAAGAGCTTTAAAAGAATTCGAGAACTTGCTGCAATTGCTAATAAGAGAAAAGACATCGAACTTAGGTTTCTTATAATTAATGACAATTTTTATTTTGCATAAGGATCCATAGTCTAGCTATAAATATGCTACAGTTGCATATTAAAAATCTTCACATCAAAGTAACATTTTTCACTTGGCAATTCTACTAATTAACATTTAAAGAACGTAAGTACCCAACGTTGTTAAGGTATAACAATGGTTTTCTTTAAAGTTAAAGCGATAGAACGTTCGAACGAAAAGCCTGTTGCTGACAAACATGACTCCGACTGTTGTTATTGCCAGACACGAAGAATGCAAAACATTTCTTAATCTATACAAGTGTAGACGCCGCGGAAATCAAATTAAATGAAAGGCATTCAAGGACAGAAAAACGATGACAAGTCTGGAAAAGGCTATTTCGAAAAGACGTATTTCTCAATCCCTTTAACCCCTTGACGTATTTTGACGCGTCCGACGCGTCATGAAAATTTCTGACAATAACTAATCGAGTATAGATGTGTTATTCTGTCCTTTGAAATTGGAATAAAATTCTAATCTCTTGTCATCAATATTCAAGCATTCGAGCAAATTTAGGCACACAATAAGCATCAATTTTCTTTCCCTTCTAAGAAATTATTGCAATCGAAAAATGTCTAATTACAGTAACTGCGACGAAGACGGTAATGTCAAAGGGTTAAAGGAGATTTTCAAGCTCCTTTCTCGTTAAAGAAAGTTACGTTTGAAACACGTTTCTCGCACACTAAACCGTGAGCTTGTCATTTAATATAACTATAACATTGTACATATAATAAGGATGTGTCGCATGAATCATTATGCCTTACCTCTCTAATCATCTCCATGGCATTTAACGATCCTTCAGCATGCTCAAGTAACTTTACGACGCAAATAATCCGACACCGAATACTTCGCCAGTTATCAGGAAATCCCTCGAAAACTATCGAATTAATTGCACCGGGAACGTGATTACACCCACACAGCACTCAACTCGCGTCTGTTTGGCACAATTTACGTGATTCGACGGAATCGCATTTCTTTATTATAGAGGATATAGCGTAAACGTTAAACCGTCACCAGCCTCGCCGAAAACATACGCATCGTATAATGCAGAACATGAGAATCCGTGTGTTTGTACGCGCGATAAGATGTCGCGCAGCTGGAAATACTTATCAACGCCGGTAGACGTTTCGATCAGATTATATCGAGTTAATACAACACGGCAGTTCAATTACATGCGCGCGAAATTTATTCGCGCCCCGGCTAATACGCGAATTAAAATCGTCGATGATGCACCGTACGGCGCACAATGGAGTATTTTATCCGAACAACTGGCCAAAAGTCGATCTAAAAAAGTTCACGTGAAATACAACATTTCTGGGGATCGTTGAATGTATAGAAAACAATATTCCAATACCAGAATGAGACTAATATTATAGTGCATAATGACATTATTTAATTCTCCGTGCTTCGATCTCGCGAAAAGGAATGAAATAATTTTTATCAGCTTTTGCACGATAAAAAGTTTGCTAATCAAGTACAAGATAAGTGTCGTAGAAAGTTAGTAGAGTTTCTAGGATTTTATCTCGCGGTTCGGACAAATGTTTCGCGGATATGGAAATGTTACAGTAATTATTATACCGTGATTTTCATGGATTTACGACAAAAACGGGTAGCGACAATTTGTAACACCGGAGAAAGCGAAAAAGTTTAACAAAGAAAGAAAGAATGAAATTCTAAAGTGGCTCCTGTTGCTCATAACAGATGCAGAAAACTCATGCAATGCACGAAGATCCGCAGTCTGGTACAAGGTCGTAAGCTACCACTCTGACGTATCTTTTTAATATTTGAAAAGTAACGCTGGAAAAATGCTAAAGGTCTCCCTTTGGAATTTACTTAAGCACAGGGCACATCAATGTATCCATGTTTCAGCTCGTGTAATTTCTGATTCACAGAGAGACAGAGCGACGTGCATACGTGTTTACGGCGGGTCGCATGGATAACTGGTTTATCTGTAAAGACGTTTGATGCTGGCGTCGCTGCATTTTGTTTACAACACGGCATGACGAAGTACCTTTGGTTCCAGGTGGAAGTTACAAGGATATATTCCACGATTATTAATTGCTTTTTTAATTAGAGCGATACGTAACGTATTTATAGCGCTGTGTGTCAAGGTTGTGTATGATCGTTAAAGGGCAGCTGCGGAGGAAAGTATCTTGGTCCTATAGGGAAGCGTGTAAAAGTTATCTCTGAATATTATACACACGAGAGTACACAACTTTCGTAACAGAAGTTATTAGCTTTGTAATAAATTTGTCACGTATTATATATATATTTTATAATAATAATTTAATTCAATAATT